CCCCAAAACCCCAAAACCCCAAAACCCCAAAACCCCAAAACCCCAAAACCCCACAATAGAGATGCTTGATTGAATTATGCTATTCATGCTTTCTTAGCAAATTCAGGACTGTCTGAGTGTTAAATCCGGTAGCATATTTTGGGTGAGGAGGATTGGCAGATTTTAAGTGAGCTGGACCGTAATAGTCAACATGAAGCCAAGATGTCCCCTCGTTGATGAAGTTGAGCATAAATGCAGCAGCCCTACTTGAGTGTCCTTTTGTGTCAGGTCCTCTGTTCATTAGATCAGAAACATCACTGATCATATCTTGTTTATGCTCCTCAAATATTGGTAGGATCCATGAATTTTCATGCATTTCTTTTCCTCTTGTAATGTACGCTTTGGCAAATTCTTCATCATTTGTGAATAATCCATTGGCTTTATCACCGAGAGCTATCATGGTGGTTCCAGTCAAGGTTGCCAGATCAATGATTCTCTTTGGATTATATTGCTCCTGGATATAGCTGAAAGTGTCTATCAAAACTAATCTTCCTTCAGAATCAGTATTGGCAATTTCTACAGTCAATCCTTTATAGCTCTAAAAATCTAAAACAACACCTTACTTTATAGATATCAGATGGTCTGTATGAGTTTGCATCAACTGAATTTTCAGCTATTGCAAACGCAAAACAGATATTTATCTTGAGTTCAAGTTCAATAACTCCTTTCAAAATTCCAGCAGTAGTGCATGCCCCTGTCTTGTCACAGTACATATCTTCAGGTTTTAATTTAATATTAAGACCTCCAGCATCGAATGTAATTCCTTTGCCGACAATAGCGTATTCAATATCTTCAGAATCTGGGTTACCTTTGTATACAAAATGAACAAGTCTTGGGTCAATGGCTGCTCCCTTGCCTACACTATAGAAGATTTCGAGACCTTGCTCCTCAAGTTCTTTCCCTTGGATCACATTGAAAGAGGGAATTTTATCAGTAGATGAAGAGATATGTCTAATAATCTTCTCCATATATTCTGGAGTCGCCACATTTGCTCTAGTATTTATCATATCTCTCACCATTAGAGTCGAAAAGACAGCTGTTTTGTAGAAATCTAGTTCCGGTAGATCTTCATTTGTAAGAGGTCTTTCGAATTTGAAATTAAATTCTGAGAGAAGATGTGTTTTACCACGAGTTTTCATCTCAAATTTGTAGTTCCATAATAATGCACTTTGAATGAAGTGCTTTGCCTTCTCGACTATGATATCTTTATCAACAAAGATATCCACTTGCTTAGTTTTTAGCATTAGGAGTTGATCAACGACCTGAACGCCGAGGTTTCTCAGGTATAAATCTTTCTGATCTTTACAAGCAGCGATTAGTGTTTTCTTTCCTCCATGATAGCTCCAAAAGAAGGAAATGTGCTCAAGATGGTTACAAACAAAATTTATTTCTTCAGACTCGGCTCCGTACGGAGCAAGATATGATCTAACCCGCTCCTCTCCAGCTAAGATTACTCTTGTAGTATCTGAAGAAGTATCTTCTAGTATTTCAGACGAGAAATTGACTGCAAACTCGTCTGACAAGACGAACTCTGTGTATTCCATTAATTGTTAGATATTTTAGGGGTTTTGGGGTTTTGGGGTTTTGGGGTTTTGGGGTTTTGGGGTTTTGGGG